TTTCCTGGGTCCTCTTCTCCCTATTCAGTATTTCACTTTTATTTGTCATCTCTGCAGATCTTCATGTCTAGCCTTAATCTCTCTGTCTTGCATCTTCCAACTGCCTACTGGGCATCTTGAACATGATTCCCATATATACCACCAACTCATGTAAACTATCTAAAATTGAACTTATATTTCCCCTCAAACTCTCCTTTTTCTTGCTTCCCTATTGCTATTGAGAGCAATCACTCAGGCTTGCATCCCTGGTGTCATCCTTAATTCCTCACTCTTACTCCTCAATGTTCAGTCATTAATCAAGTCCTGTTATTTCTATCTTCATAGCATCTTTCCTATTTGACCCCTTCTGTCCTCTGACTCTGCAACCACCTGGTGTAGACCTTTGTCTTCCTCATGCCTCATTTCTTTCAAGTTCAAAATAAATGAAGTCCCATCTTCTTAGATCCCCCTTAATGTAGTACTTACCTCTGTTGATTATCTCCTGTATATATCTTGTTTGTACGTAACTGTTTTCATGTTCTTTTCCATTAGACTGAGTTCCTTGAGAACAGAGGTTGTTCCTATCTATCTGTCTGTCTGTCTGTCTATCTATCTATCTATCTATCTATCTATCTATCTATCTAATCTATTGCCTTTCTTTATATACCCAGCACTTAGCACATTATAGTAAGCCTTGATAAGGCTTGTTGACAGACTAGTAGACAGAAATGCTGATAATTTATAATCATTTTATATCCTGCAAGTTTTCTGATTACTAATTATTTCTAGTAATTTTTATTTGGCTTTTTTTTTATCTGGATAGACCATCAGAGCAAAAGAGATAGTTTTGTTTCCCTGGATTTTTTTTTCTTGTCATATTGCTATAGCTAGCATTTTGACAACTTTGCTAAATAATAGTGATGACAATGTATACCTTTCTTTGCCTTTGATCTTTTTGAGAAGTCCTCTAGCTATTTTCCATTGCATGTAAGAGGGGGGAAAGGGGAGGGAATAAATATTTATATAGTATCTGCTATGTTCCAGGTAGTGTGCCAATAAGCACTTTTTACAAATGTTATCTTATTTGATCCTCATAAAAAACCTGCCATTATTATCCCCATGTTACAATTGAGGGCACTGAGGCAAACAGAGGTTAAATGATTTGCTGAGGGTTACGTATTAGAAATTGTCTAAGGCTGATTTTTTTAACTCAGGTCTTCCTGACTCCAGGTGCAGCATTATATCCACAGGGCCACCTATAATATGGACTCTTGTTTTTAGATAGGTGCAACTTAACCATATTGAGAAAAGACCAATATATTCCTGTACTTTCCAGTGTAATATGTCAATTTTTTTTCAGTTATCTATTGGTATAATCATGTGGTTTATATATGTATTATTTTTATTGTTAATATGGCTTTTTAAGTTTTTCTTTTTTTAACCAATCCTTCTTGTCTGATGTAAATCAACTGTTGTCATAGTACATAATCTTTTTAGTATGTGTAGCCTCCTTGCTTATATTTAATGTGATTTTTGTGTGATGTTCATTAGTTATGTTTGTCTATGTTTTACTTTTTCTTTTGTCTTTCTTTGGCTAGTTATAAAAAAGTACTTATAGCATTGAAAGTATTTGGAAAGATCCCTTTTCCTCTTTTACAAAGTTTATGTAATATTGGAATTCGTTATTTGAATGGTTTATAGAATTCACTTGTAAAAAACATCTAATCCTGGAAGGTATTTTTGTGGGGAGGGAGAGTAAAGAACATTATTTATGTCTTGTTCAACTAATTTTTATGACATTGGGTTATTTAAATAATTTAGTTCTTCTGTTAATCCAGGTATTTCGTATAGTGCTGTAAATATCCATTTTATTTATCAGTCTTGTTGGTGTAATTGGGCATAATAATTTCTGTTAATTTCCTTTAGTTCCTCTTAAATTGTTGTGTATTCCCTTTCTTTTCTTTTCTTTTTTTCTTTTCTTTTCTTTTCTTTTCCTTTCTTTTCTTTTCTTTTTTTTTTTTTGGTAGCAACTACCTTGATTTCTTTTCCTCCCTTTAAAATCAGACTGGTTAACTATTTTATTAGATTTTTTTCCCCCTTTAAACCAAAAAGTTTCTAGTTTTGTCAATTCAATAAAGATTCTGGTTTTTTGTATGTTTTTGCTTTCAGTTTTGTTCTTTTCATTTGATTTTCAAAGTTCTGATTTGGTTTTGGGTTTTTGTTAATTTGCTGCTTTTCTAGGTTTTTAAATTTTCATGCCTAGTTCATTGAATTCTTCTTTCTCTAGCTGATAAGTGTTTTTGAGATATAAATCTTCCCCTAAGTACTTCATTTGCTGGAGCCCTTTAGCTTTGATATATTGTCACATTCTTTTATGGAAACTTTATATTCTTATTCTGAATTGTTTTTGAACTCACCATTCCTTAGGATTAAATTATTTGCTCTCTGATTATTGCTTTCTCAAGAAGCCCTTTATGGAGTATAATTTTTATTACATTTTGGTAAATAAAGGATTTGTTTAATATTTGTTTTTGAGGGGTTTTTTTGTTCATGATCAGTTATCGTAAAGGTGCTATGTATAACTTAGAAATTTATTAACTCTTTAAGGTTCCCACTCAGTAATTTTCTGAGGTCTATCCTCTCCAACTTTTCTAAAATTTTATTCAGGTCCTTAAGTTGTTTATCTTTTTGTTTGTTTGTTTTTGGCTTGGCAATGGGGTTAAACGACTTGCCCAGGGTCACACAGTTAGTAATTGTTATGTGTCTGAGGTCGCATTTGAACTCAGTTCCTCCTGACTCCAGGGCAGGTGCTCTATCCACTGTGCCACCTAGCTGCCCCTGTTTTTTATCTCTTTGTTAGTTTTCTCAAGGTCTAAGAAAACATATCAAGTGTGTCCCTAAGCCTTAGAGTTTTACTTTTATTTTCTTCTGACATTTGATTAAATGTTTAGAAGCTGTGTCATTCATTGCATATGTGTTAAGTATTGTTGTTGATTAATTATATATTATTTTAGTCATAATGTATTTTCCCTGGTTATCTCCTTATCATTATTGCTACTTCTTTTTAGTTCATCTGAAGTATAATAGATTTCACTCCGTCAATTTCTATGTTGTGAGAATTTTGCTTTTAAACAACATATAGTTGGCTCTGCTTTTTTTATCTATTCTGCTCTTCACTTCTTTTTTATGTTTGAGTCCATTCCATTCACAGCCATGATTATGACTGTTAATCTGTCCGCAAAAGAAGATAATGAAAGAGGAGTTTCCTTAATGTTAGTGATCTATAATTGATATATTCTGTTTCTACTCCATTGCCCCCTTTCTCTTCCCCTTGCCCTTCTGTTATTGAAGATTTTTACTCTTCCTTCCTTTTAATCCTAGCTTCATGTTCCAAACTCCAATTCTAGGGATTGTTTTGCTTATGATCACTCCCTCATCACCCACCCTCCATTTTATGCTTCCCTTTCCCCTCTCCCTGCCCCAATTATTTTCCAGCTTACTATATTTCTACACCATGTTCACTGTGTGTATGTGGGTATATATAAACTGTACTTTTTCCATTTCAAATTAAAGTAAGGTACTTGGTATGCCTGTTCTCTTCACCTCTTTCTCAGTGTATGTGTGTCCGCTTTATTTCATGCTCATTCAAGTGTATTTTTAGAGCTTTATTGTGGTATTCATGAGGAATCTTGGATTCTCTAGTTCCTTACATGCTGCCATTTTCTCATTCCATCTATTCTTAATAAAGCCAAGTTGATTTCTGTGATCAGCGTTACCTTTTTTCTTTGTTCAGAAACCATTCCTTTAATATTAATTTTTCTAGCATATCATAGTTCTACCAAATTAATGTCCAGTTTTTATCATGCTAACTTTTGATCATAATGATACAAAATTAACTAATCTTTCTCAATGTAATAATTCCTTGTATGAGTATTTACAAAACAATTTTATTCTATATTTAGGTCTACAGTATGCATAAATTATATTTATAAAACTGAGTTTCTTCTATAAATAGTAGCAATAGCAAATTGTTTACAGCTTTTTTATACCTTTTTTCTGGGTCTTTCTTTTTCTAATCTTTTTCTTTCAATCATTCTTTTTTCCACTTCTTTTCCTAACTCTTGCTATAATTAGCCAACATTAACAGCAAATGTTTGCTTTGGTTAAATTATTCAGAACATTTATTTTACTTGTCAAAGGTTAGATCAGGTTGTTGTTTGAACTGGTAATTAAATGCAGCCTAGTATGGGCTGTCGTATTTATATGCACTATAAACCTTGTTTTCTTTTCGTTCTGTATAATTTTATAATGTTCGTGCTGACATTTAGAAAGACTTTCTGACTTGACTGCTTTCTGGTGAAGGAAGTATTTTAAATGGTTTTTAATTTATGATATCTGAAGTGATAGTCTCCAAAGTTACAAACCAATTTAACTATTTCTTTAAGGTTCTTTTTGACATACTGTATTGGTATGAGAATTTTCATTAAACAGTATATATGCTATTAAGTATCATATTTATTGAATGAGAAGTAGCACGGTGTAATGGATGAGGAGCTAGCCTCAGAGTCAGGAAGACTGAATGGTGCATACAAATGCTACCTATGACATATTCTCTTTGTAACCTTAGATCACTGACATCTCAGCCCTCTGCTTACCTTTCTAATAACTACTAATTGTAGTGCAGGTGCTAATCTGTTAAAGTAATTTCAACTCTACTAGTTCCATTGAAATCACTGGTCCAGCTCCTATTCTTATCCCCATCCCTATGCTTCTCCCCATCCTTATTCCTACCCTTTCCCTTTTTTCACATTTATATTTAGGAAAACATCTAAATACTAGACCAAACCAGATGTATTTGTAATATACCTTAATGCCACGTGGTAGCTACAGATATTTGAATATATCTTTGCATGTCAAAGTAAATGAAGATATTTACTATCCAGCTGATTTAAACAATTAAGCAACAATCACCCAGTATCATGATTATGTTTAATAATGCATACAACATTCTGCCTTTATAGGTCCCTACATTTTTTGTGGAAAATATAGAGGTAGGTTATATTATTTGTTCTCCTAGACTACTATTGGACTTTCAGTTGCTCAGAATCCTGCTTTTGTTGTCATTTTTTCATTCATGTCAATATAGTCATTGTGGTGTTGTTCTGCTTTTGTTTATTTTACTATACATCTCATATAAATCATCCCATGTTTTTCTAGTTTCCTTATATTGATCAGTTTATTATAGCATAGTAATTTTTATTACATTTGTATCCCACATTTTGTGCAGTCATTTCTCCCATTAATAGGCAACCACTGTTTCCAGTTCTTTGATACCACAAAATGTGCTATGATAAATTTTTTTTGATATATGTTGGAACTTTATTTCTCTCTTTGACCTCTGTGGTCTTTTCGAGGGTATGAACGTATTGTCATTTTTCTTATATAATTCAACTTGATATATAGATATTTGAATCAATTCATTGTCCCCAGTAGTTATTATTAATGTTAGAGTACAAGCTCCCCCACTGTAAGCTTCTTGAGGGACAAGCTTTTCGCACAGGGCTTGGTGCATTATTTATTATATTGGTATAGATTAGTGAAGCTTACTGACTGATTGATTTGTGCACTAGCTCCCTACAACATTGATTTTTCTGCTTTTTTATATTTTCTCCAATTTAGAGGGTATGAGGTAAAACCTCAGAATTGTCTTATTTTGTTATTAATGATTTGGATTTGGTTTTCTTAGGAACATTTAAAAGTTTGCAATTCTTCCTGTGAAAGTTGTTTATCCTTTGACTGTTAGATTGAGAAGTGGTCCTTGTTCTTGATTTATTTGTATACAAATACCTTTACACATGCACATGTTTACTTTTATGTGTATGTGTATAGACATATGTAGTTCCATATGTACACATGAAATTTATACAAATAATATATATGGAATCAATGAATATGTATCTATAACTCTCATAGAATATGAGAATTTTATCATTGATGTTTAATGCAAAGATTTTTCCCACTCAACCATTTTCTATTTTTTATTTTTCTAGTGATTTTAATTCATACAAAAGGTTTTCTGTCTGTTTGGTTGAAAATTCATCTTCTAGCCATAGTTGCAAAAGGAACATCCTTTCATTTTCTTCTAATTTAAAAAAATATAATGCAGTCTTTTATATTTAAGTCATTTAGAGCTTATCGTGGTAGCATGGTGTAGAATGCTGGTTTGATGTTGGTGTTGAGTCGTTTCACTCACATCTAATTCTTTGTGACCCTATTGGAGGTTTCTTGGCAAAGATACTGGAGTGGTTGGCCATTTCCTTCTCCAGCTCATTTTACAGATGAGGAAACCAAGGCAAGCAGATTAAGCGACTTGCCCAGGGTCCCACAGCTAGTAAATGTCAGAGGTTGGATTTGAACTCAGGATGAGGAGTCTTCCTGACTCCAGACCTGTTGCTCTGTCCACTGTGCCAACTGGTTGCCCAGGCTGGGTCTTAATTTCTGCCAAACTACTTTCAATTTTCCCTTGGCAGTTCTTGTCAAGTTGAGTGTACATCCATATTTGTTTTGAGGTTTGTTATTGACTGGGCTATTGGTTTCAGTGACATCTGCCTGTTGTTTATCTAATCTTTACCTACCAGTGTACTTTTCTATATTTTAAACCACACCAAGAAGTTTCAGTATTTAGCGCTGTAAATATAACATTTGAATTCTGTTAATACTATGTCCCCTTTGGTCCTACTTTTTTTTTTTCATTATTTCCCTTGAGATTCTAGACCACTGAATTTCTGTAGTTCTATAAACTATTCCCTTGATAATTTGATTGGTATAGTATTATATCTGCAAATTAATTAAGGCAATACAAGCATTTTTATTATGTTGGTGTAGCCCAACTATGAGCTCTGTCTTTTCCCCTTGTGATGTTGCATGCTACTGTAATATGTGCTTTTCAGCTGACTATAGTCTCTCTGTAAACATCAGCAAGTTGATGACTTTCTGCAGTATAAAATGTAGTTTGTCTGGGGATCTTGTGCTTTAGAGAAGCAACTGTTTTTAATCTTTACATACACCAAGTCTCTGGCACAGAAGCTATAGTCAAAGCATCTGTAACTTAAACTGCTCTCTGAAAAAATTTTTAATTTGACAGTTAAACATTTTAATTGTTTCTGTTCCATACTGAGGATCTTTAAAAGTGAATGTTTGTGATTTCAGATGATTAAATTTAAATGTACATATAAGAAGTAATGTGTCATCTTTATTATTGTATCAAATATTCAGAAAATACTTAGAGAAGGGTGTGTAAGCACGGCATATTTTCATCAAAAATAATGCATTACATTCAAAAATCTATGTTTATGTTGTAGAGTTGAAAGTTTAAATGCATAAAAGTCAAAATTCAGAGTAATGGTCTGTATAGTCACTGTAACTCATCTTGTATTACTGCAGTATGTGTTAATATATATTTTTCTTAAATGTGTAAATACAGTATACATCACTGTACAATACATGACTGAGTTATAGATGTTATAGAAATTCTACTTTTGTCACTTTTTTGCATGGTTTTTCTTTTTGCTTTAATATATATCCTTCACATTTCCCTTCCCCAAAATTTTTACTTCAGTAATTATCACATAATCCTTCAGCAGGGCCAATACTTCATTGGGTATTTTTTAAATTGTGTCTTTTCTTTAATATGATATTTTCCATGTATACTTGAATGCAGTAACTTAAATGTGGCAGTTTTTGTTTGTTTTATAATGTATTCTTTTCTACCTATTTTATTTTGAAGTTATTAGGAAAGAGAATTAGGTGACTTCAAAATATTCCATGTAATTATTACAAATTGTTAAATTTATTTAGATACCTAAAATTGATCAGTTTTACAACTTTCTTTAAACCAATCCACCTTCCCACTGAAGTTCCAAGAAATGGCAAACTATTATATAATAGGAAATGATTAAGGTGAAGCATAAGGTACAGATAATTGACAGTCTAAATAATTAAGATGACTTCATTTTTTTTTTTGGTGGGTGTAATGTTTGCAATAGGTAAATTTCTCAATCTAATAGGCTTTCTTTGTTTTTCCTTTTTGGGGTGGAAACACCCAGGGTGGCTATAATATTTACTCACCAAACACTTTTGATTGAAGTAATGAGAAAATCATAAAAGCCTTACAGAATCCATTGGGGGTAAGGGAGAGAAGGGATTCTGCATTTGATGTTAAAAATAAAGCTCTTTTGTTTTTCTATTAATTTTAAGTTTTTTGTTAAAATTTAATTTACCTATTTAATGAAAGTAAATAAAAAGGAAAAATTAAAGACGTCTATTTAAAAAGAAATGAAGAGAGGAAATGGAAATAGCATACCTTGTTTGGGTCGGCTATATTTTAATAAAATTGGATTAAAAGATTAGCCGCAAAGATGTTGTCTGCTTTATGTAAGATATATAAAGCAGATGTTATTCTCTTATACTTTCAAACTCTACTTTTTGTATACTTTTTAGGTAACCTACATTAAATTTGTTGCTCTAAAACTAGTGAAAATTTCATTTATTTCAACAAACATTTATCATCTAATATTTATAATGCACGGTTCCAGTATTTGAGACACAGAGACAAAAGCTGGGATAGTCTCTGCCCTGAAGAAGTTTATGTTCCACTCTGAAGTGCTAGGAATAGGAAAACACACACACACACACACACACACACACACACACACACACAGAGTTCATGCTGCTAGAAAAGGTAAAAGGTAATGGTTAAAGAAGCAGCCCAGATAAAATGTTACAGGAATATCAGGGAAGGCTTCATAGCAGAGGTGGCATATAATACCTAAGCTTAACCTTTACATAAGTTGACAGTTCTGTGAGGCCCGTTTGAAGCAATGCTTTCCACAGTTGAATGATGGCTTATGCAAATACAGAGAGACAAAAACAATTATGCAGCCAGCCTTTATTAAGATCCTACTGTGTGCCAAGAACTATGCTAGGCACAAGGAATACATTTATACAGAACACAAAGGATGAAAAGTATTGACAAGGAGCTTACATTCTGTTGGTAGGCTTAACAATATTCATATGTGAGCACAGGGTAAGTAAAGTAATACCAGGTAGTTAATTCAAGTTAGTTTGGGAGGAAGGCTGCCAGTAGTTGTGGGGATAGAGGAATCATACAGAAGATGGTGCTTCAGGTGTGCAGGGGCTCTGTGAGTCAGGTAAGGAAGAGTTCATTCCAGGTATGGGAGATAACCATTACAGAGACATAGAAACAGGAGATTCAGTGTCTTGTGTGAGGGACAGAGAGAGAGGAGACCAGTTTGGCTGGATCACAGAGTATGGGAGGAGTGATGCCTAATGGGGTTGGAAAAATAGATTTGGTCCAGACTGTAGGTTTAACTGATGAGTTTATCTTTGATCCTTCAAGCAGTAGGAGGCCAGTGGGTTGACGGAGTAGAAGAGCCACATGTTCATGCCATTCGGGGAAGTTAAGAGTCCAGAGGACTGCTTAGTTAGAAACATAGTACACTTTCGCTAGAACAGACAGCACTGAAAGGGTTAAAGTGTGAAGTAAAGTTCAAAAAGTTGTTATTGTTGTTCATCCTTCCCTCTCCCAAGAAGCCCAGTGACATCATAAGCATGATATCTTGACTTGAGCACGAATTGGATTTGAATGAGCAGAGCTGCTGCAGTTATCCCCTATGCTCCCTTCTCCAGTCATTGAAGTCCTGTGGCAAGGCAATGCAGTGTGTGACTTTGGCATTTCTAAATTAAGACCTTTGGGGGCAGCTAGATGGCGCAGTGGATAGAGCACTGGCCCTGGATATAGGAGGACCTGAGTTCAAATGTGATCTCAGACACATAACACTTACTAGCTGTGTGACCCTAGGCAAGTTACTTAACCCCATTGCCTAGCCCCCAAAAATCAACAAATTAATTAATTAATTAAAACCTTTCCCAGGTCGCAGTTTGTCTGAGGCCACACCCGAAGTACTAAGAGCTAGGTAAGAACTGAAATAAAAGATGGCCTAGTTTACCATCCTAAAGATATCAGTCTGGA